TTTTTTAATTTGAAGTGCATGAGAAGAATTCTCATTTGGGGAAAGTTTGGCTGTACTTTGCAACAACATTAGACTTCTCTGTTGGGTGTCTTCTGCTAGAAACGTTTAGATTTATTTTTGTTTGTGTTCTGTCTTACGCAGCTAAGAAAACAGTTTTGAATAGGACAAATTGTCTTGTTCCAGGGAGGAGGTCTGATCTGGAGAGTGAAAACAGCTTGCTACTTGGAGGACTGTCCACAAAAGAACAAAGCTCTGAGGACACTTCCCTGCACTGTGCCCCACTAGAGATAATGTAGAGCCAAGATGTTGGCCTCAGGAAACACAACTATGTGAGACAGTCTCTTGTTAAGTGTTTTGTTTCTTTCTTTTCCTAGGATTCATGTGCTCCAGTGCCTGGTACTCTGGGTGTTGCTGCTCCTTTGGATCTGATGGGCTGGGAGGCAAGTGCCTTGGTTATTCTCAGCTCCTGCTTGTAAGAAAGAGGAATCATGTTAGTTCATCTTACAGGGATGCTGGTGCACTTTCCTGAGAGTCTTTAATAACTGGTGCTGTGGAAGAAGACTGGAGTCTTTTTTAACCAGGTGTGCATCTCTCCAGATTTGTGTTTTGCATGTCACTGGCAACATGTGAGGAAGAAATACTCATGAAAGGGCCAATGCTCCTGCACAACAACATTAATGGCAAATCAGTTCTGGATACACAGAAGTGCAAGTTCCTTGTGGCAGCTGAATGGAGAGTTATGGATGCATAGAAAAGTGAGATGATGGTGTATGACCCTTGCATCCTGGAAATCAGTCAGCACTATGGTTATAAAACATCTCCATTTGTCCGCTTTGGCAGACTGGTCATAATGAAGAATTTTAAGCTTGGTGCAGAATATAAATCCTGGTAGCAAGGAACTCTCAAGCCAACAGGAATTTAGCTGCTTGAAAATCTTAGTCTTGGTTTAGTCCAATTTTTAGCCAAAGTGTGGATTCCACACTTTTAAGTTCTCAATTAAAAGGTCATCCTCATATCATCAAGCAGTCCAGACTCACCATACCATCAGCCTGTTTTCCAGAAAAATCACCCCTGTTGGAAGGACAACTGGAAATGCCTAAATGAGATGACAGAAATTCTGTGACCTGAGCCAAAAGCAATTTTGCTGTAAAGGCAAAAAAAAAAAATTCATTTAGAGAGAAATGTTAGGAAATAGTAGTGTTTTGATAGACAGTTCACAAGATGATATTTGTGAAACTCTGTAGAAAGAGAAGCCAATGGAAATTATTTTTACATTTACACCTAAGGCAATTGCATGGATTTATTACTACATCTGGGGCTGCAAGCCTGAGACTGATTTATTAACTACTGTCCCTTTTGGTTTCTTATCCAGGGTGGCAAACCAGCTGTAGAATGCTGAAAAGAAGTTGAGCTGCATGTCTTGTCCTTTCAGCCTGTTTCTTGTGTTCATTTTGGTCTATAAACAAACATCTCTCAGGTCTCCTAAATAGATTTTCTGATTGAGTTCCCAGAACAGACCACCACCAGCCTCATTAAAGCTTATTTATGTTACTTTCATGCATGAATAAAAAAGCTCCCATTCACTGCTGATTTTGTTTAGTTAGGTTCTGTGCCTTGTGGTAGACATTGAATTAGAGTGACATTTTTGGCACCAAAAAGAAAAAAATAGCGAGACTGCAAGGAAAAGTTTGACACCTGCATCTTTTGCAGTACAAAAAGGAAGGGGTTAACCTGTTCTTGGCAATATGACATTGATTGAGGATGCAAAGAAAATACAGCTGTAAATATTTAGGAAGATTCCCTAGTAGCTGGGGTGCTGTTTAGGGGGTAGGTCATAGAAGTGGGACTCTGGAGGTGTAGTCTGTTTTCCCAGGGATGCCACTCGCTCCCTGCGTGATAGGAACAGAAAGGTCACTCGTTGTTCCAGGTCTCAGCTCCCAGCTGAGAGTGATGCTGTCTCCCTCCTCTCCTTTTCCAGCTTGCTTGTTTATCTCACTAGCTATTCATCAGAGCAATATCCACGCTGCCTCTGTGCTGAGCACAGTGGGTCCTGCTCTTGGCTGGGGCTTCCAGACACCACTACAAGTAACAGGCATGGTTCTCTCTTTATGCTTGTCTCCACCTTCTCCGTCCATGCTCCAGTGCTTGTGAGGTAAGAATAACAGCTGAAAAACCCCCAAACTAACATTAAAATCAGTGTAAATGAAGAACAAGGAAGGAAAGATCCAGTATGTGTGATAAGTTGTGCAATAGATTTAAGTGGTGTTTTTCTCCAGCCCTGGTGACTGATGATCTCTCCCGTGTAAAGGTGCTGCATTTTGGGAGAGAAGGGTCTGAGCCTGTCCTTTAAGTCAGAGGGGTGAACAAAAAGCAGCTTTGCCTCTTTGCTTTGCACTAAGCACATTGTGAATATTCTTAAGCATTGCCACAAGGATTAACATCCCTGAATTTTAATGTGCCTGGTGCTGGAATGTAGCTGGAAAGCAGAGCAGGCAGGAATGGTCTCTCTGGGCTGTGGGCTCTGCTAGGTGACTCTTTGAAGTTCTATTCAATAGCTTTCTGTTACTCTTTACATTTTTTCCCTTTTCCACCTTTTTTCCTCCTCCTTCAACCCCTTCTGGCACAAGTACTGATACATTTCATGTTTCTCAAATTTACTGGACTGGATTGTTTTATCTCCACATACTTTTGCATGGCAGTAGTATTAAAATAAAAAATAATAAAGAAAAAAAAAGCATGGGGACAGAAGTACAGTTTGGTGTTTACTTTGGATCATTAACCTGGTCTGTAAATTTGATTTGACCTCTCCTTTTTTTTTTTTTTTTCTTTTTTTTTTGTTCCTCCCCTGCTCTCTCTGTGTAATTTCAGAGCCTGCAAAGAGACACTGTCTTCTGTGGCTTCAGGATCCCAGCAAGAAATGGGAGTCTGATGGATTGTAAATGCACCTGCTTTGTTTAAAACCCAGCCAAACAGATAAGTGCACTTTTAATTCTCTCTGAACGGCGCTTTAGACGTAGCTCTGCACAGCATCTCTCTTCAGTTCAGTTCCAGTTTGGTGAGACTCTGTGTTTCACCCCTGCAAATGAATGCTGTGTGGGTCTCACTTCAGCTGAGAAATACCAGACAATATTGGTATTTCACACTAAGGTAATTAATTGGTGTCTGAGGGAACTGCAGCTGAGGGGCTGGGAGGATCCCTGGGGTCTATCCCTGCTCTTCCAGAGCCACTGTCTCCAGCAGCCCTGTGAGGTTTTGGGACTCTGAGGAGCAGCTCTGTGGGACCAGACGAGGCTGATGTGACCCATCTGAGCCTTAAAGAGCCCTATGGGACTCATTAGAGGTTTAATAACTAAACTTGGCTGGTTTGATTGAGAAGATGCTTGTGCAGGCTTGGCACAATCTCAGAGAAACCAGCTCATGCTGCTGGCAGGAGAAAGGGCTTTCTGCATGTGCTTGTCATATGTGTGCAGAGAAAGTGATAATCCTGCTTCCTCCCACCAGCTTCCAGGTGGGAAAAGAGCTGGGGAGGGGGGAGAAAAGACCTTGGTTACACTGAGTTTACCCAGGGCAAGCAAAGAAGTATCGTGGGTGAGTGGTGGCAGGAATTGTCCCCTCAAAGGTAGGGGAACATTTTTATCTCTCTACCAAGGAAGCAATTTCTGTCTGCTTAGGTCTGCTCCTAGAGGTGACCACTGTCTCCTTGTGGACACACCACTGCAATTACTAAATTATTCAAGAAACCCATAAAATAGGGTCTCATGTGAAGTGTAACTTTGCAATAATATACAGCCATGGGGCTGGGGCAAATATTCACCATAAAGCAATTTGCTGTGTTAGAATAATGAAAAGAAAAGCACTGAAACTGAGTGCATGAGCATTGTTGGGGATATGTGGCAGGAGGCTGGACAAGAGCCAAATTATCCACTCCAGTCTTGTCTTGCCTGCTCTTCCAGGGATAATTACTAGTGTAAAACATCTACCTTGCTATTAGGAAAACTACAACTAGGTTTGCTACAGCAAATTAGGCTGTAGTAACTGACCTGAATTCATCTTACCTACCTAAGCAGAAGGTGAGTTTCTTGGTGAAGCTGCCAATTTAGGGGTGATAGAGAGAGACAGGAGAGATGAGGAAGGGAAGTGGGAAGTTGCTGCAGTTTGTGAGAACTAAATCTGGATCAACTTGTGATCCCTGAAGTGTCTGAAGTTCCTTCTTTTCTAGGAAAAACTTCACTGCAGCTGTTATTACCAAGGATTTTTTTATATTAATAGAAGAAATGGCACGTCTGTTAGTAATGACTAAGCTCTGTCTTACAACTGTAAACAGTATTTATTCCTGACTCTGCAGTACTTTGAAAGCAAAAAAGCTTGACACTATATTAAGAAACACTGATTAAATGGAGCTCTAGTGAGAAATCAGGGCTAGTTCATTCAGCCAGGGCGGATAGGAAGTTAAAAAAGCTTAAATCCTCTCTGTGCACCAACTAATGCAGCTTAATGTTTTTGTCATCTCAGAGATTCTCAAGGTATTGATGGTTAGGTTGGCAACTTTAAATCTCTTTTCTGCAAGTAAGTTGAAATCAATGTATCCCCCTATTAGATCCCATTAAATTAATCCCAAACTGGCCAGCTCCAGTCTGGGCAATCTGACATTACTCAAAGTCAAATTTGGGCATCATCCTGAGGTGTGGCTGGCATGCAACATGTAACACCGTGTGCTGCCTGGAAGAAGAAGCAGAAAACACTTGAAGTGTCTCTTGGGAGCTGTACTGATGAGATAGATGATACCAAGGGTGTTCTGCTCACCTGTGGTTTGGCTGGTACTTCCTGCAGCTGAGGAGAACAGATTCAACAGCTCTTGTCCAGCTACTGAAAAAAAATTTTGTCCCGAAAGGAAGATCCTTGAATCCCTAACTCCTTGTCTTACAGGTGAACCTCGAGGACACTTGGGAGACTGTAGCTCCTGAATGTGATTAGAAGAAAGCTGCTGTGATTAGAAGAAAGCCATGGGGAAAGATAAGAAAGAAGAGGCCGTCTTCCTGAGGAAGAAGATCACTTTGCTGCGGGCGTTCTCGCTGCTCATCGGCAGCATGGTTGGCAGTGGCATCTTCATCTCCCCCAAGGGAGTCCTGAAAAACTCCGGCAGTGTGGGCTTCTCCCTGCTTGTCTGGTTTTCCTGTGGGCTCCTCTCCATGTTTGGTGAGTGCTGAGCTTTGGAGCCCTTGCTGAAGCACCTGGGAGGTGAGGGGAGCCTGCACGTTTTTATGTTTAGAAAGTTGGGAGATGAATAAACCCAAAATTTCTAGTTCCTGCTGTAATGAAGATTTAGAAGTCAGGGGATGGTCACTAGGAGTTTTTAGTTCAAATTATTTCCCTGGGGTAATGGACAAAGTTCCAGCACTTATGGTCTGTAATATCAATTCATGTACGAGTCCAGGGCAGGAGAGTGACAGTGACTGTGAGTGAGACAGCATGGTCTGTGACAGTGACAGACAGAGACAGCATGGTCTGTGCCAGGAAAGCTGTGAGAGAATGAGGGGACTCCTGTAAGGCAGAAAGGAGATATAGGCACCTAAAAGGGAACCTGAGGGTTGTGCTGTGCTTTTCACAGACCTTGTGAAGAGAGGAGGAAGGGAGAGTCCCAGTGTGCCCCATGGGGACCCCTTTCTGTCAGGGAGAATGGCTGAAGCAGAGTGCCTGGGGAGCTGCAGGGATGCACCAGCCCAGGGTGGGTGTTGGGTGTCTGTAAGAAATGATGTGGGGATGTCTGATGCTGCCCCACTTTCTGTGTGTTACTATTGGCTTCATTTCTGTCATTTACTACCAGTCTTTTCTCATAGAGGTTGTCTTTTTGATGACAACTCCATTCTAGTTCTTTTGAAATAACGTTGCTCTTCTAAGTTACAGTGGATAAAACATGTGGCTTTTAGTTTCTTTCATTAACTGTAAAAATCATCATCTCAGAAACTCTCTAAAGGTGCTATCAGGACAACTGCCAGTTCTCCCAGCCCAGGAGAGAAATCTAATGCTTATTATAGTGGGTGACTTTAACATTCTTCTTCTGATGTAACTTTGTAAAAAAAAAAAAATCTACCAAAAGAAAAAAATAAGAAAGGCGATATACTTCATGTGGAAAAAAAAAATAAAAAGCAAAGTAAGTGTCACTCACTTTGACACTGGCATGTACATGCAAGTTTAGAAATTGAGACATTCAATTGTTAATAGGGCAACAAGTTGTTCTTGCTCTTAGCATATGTGTACCAATATTTCACATTGCAACTGTGAGTGGCTGTTTGGTGAATTATACACTTCTGCTTAAAGAAAAGCTGACAGCATAATGTGGGCATAGTGTTTCTTTTAACCAAGGAGAGCAGTAAATGAGAATGTGTGTGTAATGTATGTGTAATCACATAGCCAAACTCTGCACTTGTAAAGGTTTTTCTCTGTACAGCATCCTTTGATACACTCTCCTGGAAGGGCCTTGGGAGCCTCTTTACCAAGTGATTGCGTTTTGTAGCTGGATTTGTCAGTTTGTTCTTCTCTTTTATCAGCTTGATGACCTCCCCTGATCATTTCTCTGACACTTTTTTGCAGTATATTTAAAAGATCTGCTTTCTTTCGTGCTTTTTTTTTTCCTTTCAAGTGGGGTATATATAAAGTCCCATCCCATGAGTTCAGCAGCATACTTATATGCATGAATACTTGAATGCTTAAATGCTTGAAGCATTTAAAGGGATCCACTGGAATAAACCAGATGAGCTCCCTGCCTATATTTGATGCTTTGAGCAGGAGTTCTGCACAAATTTTCCAACAGGGAGGCAGGAAACATTGAGGTTGTCACCATCCTGTGTGACCTGAATGTGGCATGACTGCCATGGGACTTGGAGGCATGGCCATGTCACCACTGGCTTCAAAGGAGGGAAGGGATTTATGTGGAGATGCAAGATAAGGACACAAGAATGTGGCCTGGGATCAAAAACATTATTTAAATGACCAGTTCAGCCATGGCTTGTGGCTGAGCTGCTGTAGTTGCTTTGTACGCACCATTTCATGAGTCTAACAGTGAGGAGAAGTGAGAATCCAGGATACCTTTCAAAGGAAACCCCTTGTAGCTCTGTGCAGCATTTCTATCACACACCTTTCTTCAGAGCTTCCATGGAAATGTTGTAACATTAACCACAAAATAGAGAATTTCTTTCCACCTGACAGGTAAGCCAATAACTTCAGAACTTACTTCAAACCACAGTAGTGCACAAAAATAGAGAAAAGTGGTTCTGTTAAACCTCTTTTCCTTCCTCCCATTCACTACTTATTTTAAATGGATTTGTTCAATCCTTGAAAAATCACACAGAAAAGGGGAAAAAATCCCTGGGATTATTTACTTGGTACATTTCTACCTGGACTTTTCCAGGTGCCTTGTGTTATGCAGAGCTTGGAACAAGAATCACCAAGTCTGGAGGGCATTATATCTACATTTTGGAGACACTAGGGCCTCTGCCAAGCTTCTTATTCCTGTGGGCAGAGTTTTTTGCTATCAGGTAAGAGATTTGATTTGCTTGCCTCTTCCTGGATGCAGTGATAATTTAAAATACCAAAAGTTATGGCGCCAGGTAACAGTCCAGGCAGTTTGTAAAGGAAAGAGTTGAATGATTTTTAAAGATTTTTCAGTGATAAAAGGAAGAAGATGCAATGTGGAAATAGTTACAAATGTTGAATATGTTCTGTACTTGAAGAATATCTCTCTTCTCCCCTGGCAGCTCCTATCCCCCAAGAGCTGTGGTATATTTCAGAGACTGGCAATAAATGCCAGATTTATTTCAGATCTTATGTTTGCAGTGTGAAACTTTTTTGGTGTCTTCAGATTCAGAAAGTGGAGACAATGTTCTGGCTTATCCCCAAGTTAAATAATTTATAAAATTGTGAACTACTTTTTTTTTTTAACATTAAAAAGGAAGTCCTCACCTCTCAATAACCTGTATCCTTCATGTAAGCTTAGATGAGGCAGAACATATGAACTACACTTGCATTGCTCAGTATGATTAATCTCAACTTTTGCTTTCAAGTTGGAAATTAATCATTTTGCAGCATGTGGTTTTTAACCCATTTACTGAGAAAAACCCATGAGAAAAACTCGATGGGGATTCACCATCTGCATGGGTGAGAGGATTAGGCCAGATTAGGCCAAACTTGCTCCCCTTCCCAAGTTTTGTGCAGTTTTACCTCATGCCATTTTTCAGCCATGCTCAGAGCAGTTTGTGCTTGGTTCCCCCCACATTCCCCACTCCAGGCCTGCCAACAGTGCTGTGGTTTCCCTGGCATTTGGGCGCTACATGCTGGAGCCGTTCTTCGCCCCCTGTGCTGCCCCTGTCCCTGCAGTGAAGCTCGTGTCTCTCCTGGGCTACTGTAAGTACCAACATTTATGGGATTCTCCATCCTGGCCTCTCTGCCCTAGACTAGGAGCACTTGGGGGTGTTATTTCCTGGACAGCTGTGGGATAAGACAGCTGTATTATCACCTCAGCTAAGTAAAATGTTCCAATTCAAGGTGATGGTGTTGGGCCACTATATTCTCTAGGAAGTGGAGTGGGTCTCCCTGTTGACTAGCTGGAGCCCTATTTAGGGGGATTTTGGCAGGCATGGGAGAAGAAACTCTCCATGTGTAATTGTGCAAAAGCCACATGAGGTGTGGGTGTAAGGCTTCAGGTTTTGGACTCCTCTCCTGGTGCATCCAGCCCGTGAAGCTGTCCTGCCTGCTCCAGACTGGTGTGGACTGGCACAGGGAATGCTGTAAAGTGGGCTGCTGAGATGTCCCACACCTTTCCCCCAGGCAGGTGTGGATCACCCAGCAGGAGCCAGGTTCCTGCTCCCTTTTAGGAGTGTAAATCAGCTCCCTCTTTAAACAGTGTATACTGGACCAATGTTTCCTGGCATCTCTCATCCCAGGCATCCTCTCTAAGGCATAAAGATGCAGCCTTCCCCCAGCATCCCTAGGGCAGGGAGAGCTGCTGTATTTTCTCCTGTGTGTGTTGAGCCCAGGCTGCAGCTGTAGTAGTGTTGTTTCCTCTCCAGATACGGTCCTGACCCTCAATTCCTGGAGCGTCACCTGGAGCGCGCGGCTGCAGATGGCTCTCTCCGTCGTCAAACTCCTGGCCCTTGCGCTCATCATCGTGCCAGGGATGATGCTGCTGGCCCAGGGTAGGTACTGCTGCTCCTAAGGCTGAGCAGGGTGCTCGATGTGCCCCCCCTGTCATGGCTTTTATCAGTGCCAAGTGACAAGTGTGGTGCTCACTCAGCTGGCAGGAGCTCTCTCTGTCCATGTGCCAGATGTGAATTAGCTGGGAGCTGAGACCGGCACAGCTGGCACAAGCTGCATGATTGCACTGGGCTGGTGCACCTGGCTGCGGGGTGCTTTCTCCAGAATTTAGTGGGTCTTAGTGCCAGAGGATGTGTGAGCCTACCCAGGTCACCCTAACCTTCCTCTGGAGTCAGACTTGCCTATTTCCAGTGTAGCTCAAAATCTTTCCAAAGCAGCACATATTCAATGGACATTTAGGATATGGGACAGCATCCCCCATGCCAATCACAGCTGTGTAATGAGTTACCAGCCCTCAGCTGAGCCCTGGTAATGGCATCTCTAACCCTTCTGTGGCACAAGCTAATATTTTTTACCTCCAGATTGAGATGGGTGGTAATTCAGTGAATTTACAATGAACTTGGTACAGGATTTCATGCCTGCATGCAGAGTGGGGGAGATAAAACCTACCAGTAGGATCTTCTGTGAACCATACAAGAGTATTGGCTTTAATCCAAGCCTCAGTTTATAGAAAAGCCCAAGGCATTCCCACTCAAGGGATGAAGCCTGCTCCCTCTTCATGCTATTACCTTCTTCTGCAGAGAAAACACCACAGGCAATGGACTCTGTGTTCATGTTTCTTTCTGATGTCTGGAGCTGGCTCCTTTGAACATGCAAAGCTCCCCTTGGGCTGGCTTCTGAACTAAAGGACTGCCCTGCAGCTAGGAATCCCCAGCCATTATTGTTAGGAATGCCTTCAAATGACAATCTGGAGCCCTGGCACCCGTCCTCTGGTGGGGAGGATAAATGCAGGTGACATCTGGAGGGAGAATTCACGAAGAGACTCCAGTATGACAGGTTGTATTTAATGTGACTCACGGGGGACTGCAAATTGCTCATTAATACATTGCAGGCAATAAATCCTTTTTGTGCACCATCACTTAGCAGCCATCATTTTGGAACATAAAAAAAGTACCCCAATAGACCCACTTCTATATTTTGGGTTAGTTTTCTTCAAACCTATTTTCAAATTGACTTCATTATTTTTTTTTTGGTGCTTAAAAATCAGTTTTGTGCTTTTACATAATTTTGCCTGATTGCTTTGCCTTGTGCTACTTTGTTTAGATTGCACTTCTGTCCTTTCCTTTGCCGTTACATTCTTTTTGGCTCAGGCATATATTAGAGATTTGCTGGGCTGGCGTTTCAAGCCCATGTGCCCAAATCTTGTCTCTGAACTTCTTGCAGAAGCACCTCCACAGAAGTGGCCTGACTTTCTCCACATGCTCCATGCCATGTCACACCTTGCCTGGTAAATCCCAGCTAGGAAAGCTTCTCACCTCTTGAAGAGAGTTTATTATGGAAAATTGAACATAGATGTGGTACCAAACCTTGGGTTACCTAGATTTGAAAATGTTGGGAATGCAATTCTTTTTGACTGTGTTTGAATGAGAGGCCAATTCAGAACAGCTCTCTTCCCTAAATATTTTTGTTTTGATTTAGAGAAAATCCTTTCTTTGATTTTTTTTTTGGTTAAGTTTTGTTTTGTTGTTTCAAGCAGAGAACTTGAAGAAAAATTAGGGGAGTTGGTAAATATCTCTACTTTGAGACACCTCTACTTTGGACATGTCATTTGCTTTGCACTCTGTCCTTTCCTGTGGGTGAGTGGTGGTGGGTCAGGCTGGCAGGTGTTGCTCCCACCCCCTCCTGCAGCTGGTTCCCATGCTCTGGCCAGCACAGGGCTGGGGTCAGTGCTCCAGCAGCAGGAACAGGAGGGAGCACAGTGAGAGCTGAGTTAGCTGCCTCGCTGGCTGCACCACATCAAAGGGGACTGTATCTCCAGCTGCTGAGGGGGCTGGGGACTGAACATGGGGGTCAATCCAGCAACTTAATTTTGGGCCTGAAGGAGGGAGAGGACAACGTGGATCTGCTCATCTCCATGATCTCCTGTTCTCACATCAGGGTCTGTAGGAAACAGCTAGCTATTGTTGTTGCCCTTCCTGAAAGGCCTACCCTAGCTGGACAAGGGATAGAATTTTTTTTGGTTTTTAATGTCACTGTAGGAAAGTAAACACATCAGCAGCAACACTGAAGTTAAAGCAATGAAATGAATTTGAATACCCTTCTCCAGGGAAATCACACTCTTCCCAGGCCTGGGCAAGAGGTACAAGGGATGTTATTCTACATGGAAGGAAGCCTGTCTCTGATGTTCTCCTGCTCTGTCTCCGTTGTTTTTCTCCTCTGCAGGCCACACGGAGAACTTCCAGCACGCTTTTGACAGGCAGTCGCTGGTTCTGGATAAGCTCCCCCTGGCTTTCTATGCAGGCATGTTCGCGTACTCCGGCTGGTAGGTGCGATGGGAGGGCCCTTCCCGGGCGGCACACGGGTGCCCTCAGCATGACTGACTCTCACCCTGTCTCTTCCCATCGTGCAGGTTTCAGACCGGCTTTGTGCGCGAAGAGTTGGTCAAACCTGAACGGTAAGGCTGGCAGGAAGCTGCCCTGGGTTACCAGCCTCGGGGCTCCGAGTGCAGTGCAGGAGGAATAACTTTGTGGGTTCACCTGACTGCAATCAGTTGTACTGCCAGACAAAATCTGCAGTAATGCTGTGCATAACAAGGGATAGCAGCTTGTTCTTTGTGTGTGTGTGTTCCCCTTCCTTGCAGAAATATCCCCCTGGCTGTCATCGTGTCTGTGATCACGGTAATTGTGGGATACATGCTCACCAACGTCTCCTATTACACAGTCCTGGGAACAGAAGATGTTCTGGCTTCTCCTGCTGTGGCTGTGGTGAGTTGTCATTGCTATTGTTATCTCAGTGTGGCCGGCTTGTGCTGTGGTCATGGCAAGTCTTTCAGAGATGGTTTTCCTATAAAATGCTTTATTGCTTTGTAATTTCTCTGGAATACTGGGCAACAGTAAATTCATCTTGTTGTGGTGCCTAAAAGATAATGAAAAGTAACCTGGAGATTACGGTAGAAAAGGTGAGATTTATGACTTCTATATTACTCCTTCAATGGAAGAAGTTTTCTTTTTTGACCCTGATGTCACCTAGAGATCACCACATGTTCCCTAAAGTCATGCTTGCTCTTCCTCCAGAGCTTTGTGCAGCGAGCCTTCAAAAGCCTGATCTCCGTGGTCCCTGTCCTTGTCGCACTGTCCTGCTTTGGAACTATGAATGGAGGAATCTTCACCTTTTCAAGGTCACATCCCCAAGGGTCTATTATGCTTTTGGCTCATTGAATCAGAGGGAAGCATCACAACCTGTGCAACTACCCATCCACACAGTGGCATTTTAGCCACTCTTGTGGGAAAAATAAGGCTTTTGACTTCCAGGTTGTCAGCTACAGGATGGTCCCTTTTGGCTAAGAGTCTACTTTTTCTATTTCTGACCAGATCTAGACCTTGGTACCCAGGACTGGTCACAAACAAAGATTTTTATCTTCTCCCCTACCCTTCAGTTTAAATCTCCAGTTTAAAGTGAAATTTCAGTGTTTCTGGTGAACTAAAGGCTTTGTTGATGTTGGCAGCTGCTCAGTGAGACTGAGTCTTCTTCCACTGGGTTCACCCAGCTGTGCTGCTGGGGGCATGGGGTCCCTCTGTTGGGAGGCTCTCTAGGCAAACTCTCCCTTGAGAACTTTGCTTTGAAGGCAGTGAAATGTCATTGGGATGGGCTATTCCTAAAGCAATAGTCAAGGTTCAAGAAGTCTTGTTATAGCAGAAAGAAAAGCTTTGTCCCATGGAAAAATAAACTTGCCAGCTTCACCGTCTGCCACACTCAGTGTCCTTATGGGACCCTTGAAATTGGAGAGGAGGGCAGGCCTTATGAACAAGATACTTATGTTGTGCTGGTCCTGTGGAGCTGAGCAAACTCTCTGCAGTGGGTTTTGCTTCACAGCTTTGATTGCAAAGGGAAAAATCAGTTGATCTGAAAGGAATGTCTCATAGCCTGAAAGCTAATGAATTATCTGATCCACTACTCTGAAGTCCTGTATTAAATACAGGTGTGGATGATCCTTCCCATTAGCTGTTCCAGATAATTGTTTTCTTTGAGGATGAGAAGTCTCTGGGCAGCACAGAGGTTCTCAGTGTCCCCCACTGACCTTCTCTCCCCCATCCTGGCATCATTAACATAATCACTGCAGAAAGCCCATATAAACACTGATGGGGCCTCCCTGGCTGCCTGCCAGCCACACCCCTGCAAAGCCACAGAGACAGCAATAAAACCAGTTGTACACTTGTGCCCCAGCTGCTTGGGGCCCTGCTTCAGCCCAGCTGATGCTCTGGCATGGTTTGTTTGAGGATATTAAATTTCTAAAATTGGATGTGATTGTCTTCTCCCTAATTGCTCTCTCACGAGTCAAAGGAGGGATGCAAGCAAGGAACTCTCTGCTCTCATTTTGTAGCTGTTCTTGTGTGTAGCTGGTCTCTTGGCAGTATGACAAACTGTATTTTCCAACAGCTGACCAGAGGATTGGAAATCATCTGTCATTTGAGGAGATTGCACTTTATTTTTTCTATATATGTACATATAAGAATATACGCTTAAAAGCTGACAATCCCCTTTCATAAACTCACCAGTTTCTCTTATAAAAAATTGAAGTTTGTGATCCCTCCACTTCCTTTTCACTGGAAAAATTAATTACTTTTTTGATGGCAAGAGACTTTCTTACTCCTGTTTCCAGTCTGAGTTCATTCATGGTCACTTTGGACTTGCCCAAAGGTCTCTGCAGATGAGGCACCCAAGGAGACCCTGCCAGTGGTTCTGGTGCTGGGCTCTGAACTGCACTGAACTGGTCTTGGCAGAGCTGTGGGAACTCAGCCTTGGTTTTCTTCCAAATGCCCCCAAAGTGGAGCTCTGAGCAACTTGGTCTAGTGGAAGGTATCCCTGTCCATGGCAGGAGGGTGGGTTCCTACCCAACCCAAACTTTCTATGAAAGTGCAGCTAAAGGCAAAATTGTGGCCTCGAATAGCAGCAGACTTGTGCTGGGGAAGGGAGCAGATGCCTTGATGCCTCAGGTCAGTCCAGTGACTCATCTCATTTCTAATGCAGATGTAGAATGTTGATGTACAGGGCTCCCTGTCTTTTCCTAGGACTCTGTTTGTGGCTTCCAGGGAAGGGCAGTGGCCTCCTCTCTTCTCCATGATCCACATTCGAAGGCATACCCCCCTTCCTGCTGTCATGTTGATGGTAAGGAGATCTGGCTCTGTGTGACATGCTCTGTTCTTTTGCTGTCCTGGCTTTCTTGCAAGGACTGGACAAACTGAGGAGTTTTAGAGGGTGTTGGGACATTAAATTTCTCCCAGAAAAAAAAAAGAAGGCAGGATACAGGAAATGGCTGCAAAGTATTAAATCCCCTTGAGCCAGCAGTGGTATCCAAATGTACAACCTTGAAGTCCCTGCCTTATAACATTACACACCTTTTTTAAAAGTACAACCCCTACAATCTGCCACAGGTGCTGCTTGATATTGTCCTATGAAAATAGCTCTGCCAGGCTTTGGCTATCTGGAAATTTAAAATTCCCAGGTGTGGTGGAAATGCAGGGAATGAGCATTTGTAGAGATGGTCTGCTCTCATGTTTTGGTTTGTTCAGGGGTTTTTTTGTGGCAATGGTCCAGCTCCATCCCAACTGTGGTGCAGTGTCTGTTGCAGCTTGGCTGAGCTGCTAAAACCTTAGCAGATGTCATTGTAGATAGCCTGTGTACCAGCAGGGCAGGCTTTTGGATCATGCATGCTTTAATTGCCCTGGCTTGGACACGAAGCATCGAAGATGCTGCCGATCTTGGAATGATCACTCTTTTCTGTAGCACTACAGATCAATGCCTTTAATCTTTTGCCTTCAGCCTGTGACACTGTTTTGTGAAACTCTCTGACCTCCAAAATGCTGGGGCTGTGAAGTAGTTGCAGGGGGCTTGGAGGAGGTGATCCGTGACTGTAATGACTGTATTTCATGTTCAAAACGCTCAGTTCCCTTTGGTCACTGCCATGGTGTGCATTGGAGACATCTACCACCTACTGAACTTCTTCAGCTTTTCCCGATGGCTCTTCATAGGATTGGCCACCCTGGGGCTCATCGTCCATCGCTGCCGTCACCCGGAGCTGCACAGCCCCTTCCAGGTAATGCACAGAACGGACCTGGCAGCCAGGAACCTGCAGCCCTGCCATCCCTCTCCTTGATTTGCTCATAATTACAGCATCACATGGCCTTGGCTGCCTTTAGGCTCTAAGGGGTTTCAGTCTCTGATGCTTGGTAATGTCTGTGGGGAGCTCCTGACCAGCACTGGTTGGTGTGCCCAAACAGCCAGATGTGATAAATTCTATAAAGCCAGTTCTACATGGACTCACCAGATGCACCTGTTAGAATACTGCTTGGTACAAGGGACAAAGTTTCGGGCTTGGGACTGGGAGATGTACAGACAGAAGTTCTCTGACTCATCTCCTGTGGCCTACAAGAAGGATGTTACTTGCCTGGATGTTATTTCAGTGGCAGGTAAATCTCAGCTCTGGCTGAGAAGCAGAAAGGTGTCAGGCTTGGGGGAAAAGGAGCATGGGTGGAGGGGTCCTGGGAGCAAACCTGACTTGGAAGGAGTCATCTGCTGGTATAGAAATATTGTCTCATGTAAAGCAGTGGGCCCCTCTTGTGGCCTTTCTCACTGCTCTGGGTGCTAGGATCCCCCCTCATGTCAGCAGGGGATGCTGGATCAGCTTTCCTGTGCTTGGGCACCTTTTCCACTGCTGGATAATGTGCAGAAGGCATTAATTAGGTTGGGGCGGTGCTTGAGGCGGGTGCAGTTTGCTCCTGACTCTGGTCGCCCCTGCGTGGTGTCCCCTGGCAGCAGCTCCCGGGAACAGAGAGGACCTCCGGGGCTGTGGGCACTGGGCAGGGAGGAGCTCGGGGGACAGAAACGCTCCCTGCAGCTCGCAGGGGTCCTCTCTGAGCTGGGTGCATCCTCCTGCAAAGTTTGGGGTCATTTTTCTTCTCGGTCGTCGCATTTAGCAGAGACCTTGTGGCTTCTCAATTTGTTGGTTGGCTGCAGTCGCATGCTCACTCCCCCAGAACCAAACGGAGTAAGTTTAGTTTAGCTTTTAGTTCAAACTAATCTGCTCAGGGGAGATTTATTAGTGGCTGGCACTGCAGATGGTTTCAGATGCTGAGATTTTGCCCTGGTTTTCTTCAAAGATTCAGACTTCTAGCGGCTCGTAAATGCTGATTGAAAGAGGGAGGGAAACACTGGCCCTTCGGTCAGTTCGGCTGGTTTCCCCCCGCCTTTCCCCTGGTTTTTGTCAGTTCTGTGCAAGGGCTGCGCGCAGGTGGCGCGGGCCCGTGCTGCGCTCTAGTGGCCGCCCGCGGCTGTCGCCTGCCGTGCCCGGGGACAGCAAAGCGTGGCACAGCGTTGGCACTTGTTCTCTCTGTAGCATTCTGAGTTAAAAACGGTGGGAAAGCACCCGAAAGAGGAGGGAGCAGTCCGCTCGCACACTTCTCAAGCAGATGTGCAGCGTGAGCGTGCGCATGGAGGAGCGGCTGGCAGAGGATGCTCTGGCTGGAAAGACAAGAGTACCTAAGTTTGATGGCTGGATGGCTGCCATACCTAGAGCAACAGATCTCTTCCAACTTGGCATGTTGAGTATCCAAAATACAATCTTTATTACTAGTCAAGATTGTCACCTTATATGAGAGCAGCTCCTTTATTCCATCAGCCATGGCAAGGAGTTGCTTGGCAGAGTTTGGATCCAGAGACAGAGGGAGTGTTTCACAGTTTTATTATTTATTGCAGTCTTCCTATTTGCTCTCCAAATAACCTAGATGAATTGGCTCATCCAATAGGGTGTATGGCTGAAGAGCTGAGTGCTGCTTTGATTTTCACCATGGTGTCACTGAAGCTGATATTTTTGCTGCATGTACGACAGAGATAGGGAGTCTGGTTTGTCTTGATTTAGTCACTGTAAGTCTCAGGCAAACTAGAGGCAGGTCAACACGAGTCATGGATTTATAAGCAACGAACAGTTTGATTCAAAGTGTGCCTTCTTTCTTGGTTTCAGATATTCCCTCAGTGGCTGCCTTAGGGGGCACATAGGTATGTGTGTGCCTGTGCATGCACAGGTGCAGGACATTCACAGAGCCATGGGCTGTAGGCAGCTTCTCCCCCTGCTTGGCTTACAGTTACAAGTGAGGTTTAGATTTTGGTGCACGTGAATATAGGAGGCATGCCCCTCACAGGGCACACTGGGCTCTGAAGCTGATGCAGTTGTTTGTAGTCTGATAGTACAGAAGTATTCTGCAGGACAGGTTATGATTATTCTCCTTTTCTTTAGGCAGAGAAATGGATACAGCGTGTGCTGGCACACACAGAGTCTGATCGGCTACAGCCACCAGTTTGCCCTGATAGTCTCCTGTGCTCTTTTCCTCAGGTTCCCCTGTTTGTCCCTGTCTCTTTTACCATCATCTGCCTCTTCACAGTGGCACTGTCTTTCTACTCAGACCCTGTGAACATCAGCATTGGATGCACCATAGTTTTGAGTGGTTTTCCAGTCTACTACCTCATCATTCACAGGCAGATGTCAGACCGCTGCCGTAACCTGTTTTGTAAGTATGCATTTCACTTTCAGTATTGTGGACCTAAACATGCCCAAGGGTCAGGGGGTTGATTTGTTGCCAGGGCTCACCTCTGATGCAAATTGCTCCTTGACCAACAGACCTCGTGAAACCTAAATCATGACTGCTGGCATCACTCTGGTGTCTTTCCCAAGGCACAGTCTCCACAGGCAAATTTGTTTTAACAAAGACAAGGCTGAAGTCTACCAACAGGGGGAACAGAGAGGGTCTATTTCCCACCCCAGGCCTAGTACCTACTAAACTTTATCACATCTTTGGGATCCCAGCTCTGGGTGAAATTTGTCTGACATGGAGCAGAAAGATGACAAGTTAGGATAGAGGGGCTACAGGCAAACGCTGTAAGCCCATGCACAAACTTGCTTGCTGAAAGGCTGAGGAGAGGACTGCTAGGAGAAGAGTACTGCCAGAGGTCTGTGTGCTTGGTGAAGAGGCCAGGATGGTTTGGGTACAAATGTAGCCGTGGAAATGAAGTACATCTCCACTCCAGGCAGTGTAGTACAGACTTCCTTTGGATGTAGGCATGGCGGCACAAGGGTTTTTTCAGAAATGAGAGCCTGGGTTTAAATTGTTGTTTCTGTTCCAAGTCTTGTTTTCTTTTGATTTGATGTTGGATGGAGGTGCATCACTAGCCACTCAATAGAAGACAACATATAGCAAGAAAGGAAACAGATACAGTGATCTGCCAACATTAGGTGCTCCAGCCATCAATGCTGATGCTCTTGATTTTCAGTCATGTCTCAGGATTGCCTCTGGACTAAACTTCCTTCCTTTTTTTTCTACCCTTTCAGATTATCTTACACACAAACTACAGTTACTGCTGGAAGTTGTCCAACAAGAAATCAAGACTTACTGAGAAAACCATCAAAACTCACAGAAGACAATAAAAATCTACTCACGCCATTTTTGACACCTTTGATCCTACCTAAAGCAGTCCATGCTTTTATTCTTTTTAGTCAGTGCAACTGAGGATGACTGAGCCAAAACCTTGCTGCAAGTGTTCCTAAGCTTGCCAACTGGGATCTCTTCCTGCCCTTTTATTTTTTTTTCAGAAAAGCAAACTAGTTCTCTGAAATGAGCTTGCTTTGCCTGCAGAGTGTCTTTGAAACCAAGATCCTAATTTTGCAGCCTGGCCCAGTCCTGAGAAAAATTGTGTGTGTATGTGTGTGTGTATGTGTGTGTGTGAGTACAGAGACAGTATTTTGTTTTCCTGGCTTGACAAATAGAGGAAGTGGGCATGTTGCAAAACTTAGAATCCAATACATGGAAGCCAAATGCAAGTTTCAAACAGAACCACTACAGCAGTCTTGTTGGGGAGAGCTAATTAGAGATAAGGCAGATGAATTGGAAAGGGGAATACAGGGGGATAAAATTTTATCCACCAGAAACTGCAGACTGAGATAATGAGAAGATACTTGAAATTCAAGTATTAACAAACTAAAGTCAGAATGTTTTGCTTTGATTTTTGTATAAGCAGAATGAGTTTTTTAGCCTTGAAATGATCTTTCAACTTTGAAGTTTACTTTTCTGAAATTACATTTTTAAATGTACAAGTGCATTTTTTAAACAATCAGTTAATATCATCTAGAATATGACAGCAGACATCCTGGTCCTCCCCCAGCTTCCCAGACCCACTCCTTACCAGTGATGTTGAAAATTCAGAATTTGGCCTAGCTCCAGTGAAATACAATTCCTCCTTTAATTAGACAGGACCACTGATGAGACTTGGGCAGATTCCTGAATAAATGCATCTTCTGGTGCTGTAAGAAGCCATGAGTGACTTCACATCCAAGCTTTAACTTGCCAATTGCGCATGACTTGCTGATTTAATCCATAAATGCTCATTTGAACTAATGGCATAAGAAAGGTTTCCATTATTGGATTACTTTGGTTTACATTATTACATTATTAATGTGGTGATGTTATGTCCAGATAATACAGCAATTACCTATTTACAATCACGTTATTGTTAATTGGTTCCTAAAAGATGGAAAGTAGCATGCTGAGGCTCTTCTAATGACTGCTGGAAAGAGGAACAGCAGAATGTGGAGCATTTTTAAATCTGTTGTATCAAACATTTATGTACTTAAAATAAAAACAAAGTACCATTTACAAATCCAATGTAATCTACTGAAACATGTAAAATTTTGGAACGCAACTTTAGGGTTATTTTCAAAGCAATTGAGAATTATTATTCTTGTAGTGATTGCTTCCTGTTCCTGTGCTGAATTAAGCTGGGACAGCAGCAGTGTGGTTGCAAGGCTTGTTTCCCCACTACCCTCCAAGAATTTAATTTATAAGCCGCTGGACATTGTCCAACAGGAAATACAGTCTCACAGGGAAAATCCTCACAGCAGAAACCATCACGCCCTACAGGAGAAGTCACTGGCTTTAAACAATAGAATGGATTCAAGTGAGATCTGGAAATGCTTCCAGGATCCCAGACAAGAGCCAATCCCTCTTCATGCCAGGCTTTCCTGAAACTGAACCGCCTGGCACACCTTCCCACAGCACCCAGTGGTGGACCAGCACCCAGTAGGGGTGGCTGGGGGACCAAACTGCAGAAGACCTTGCAGAACCAGGTGAGCTCAATCACCCCAACATTTCCTGGGTCCACCCACTTTGGTTTGGGGGATTTTACACATCTTAAGGTAAAAGCATGAGATACTGTCAGCCTGGCTGCAATACCCATGTGAGCACAGTGTGCACGTGTTGTAGGACCAGGACTCCCACACCAAACCTTGGAGCAGTCTGAAATTGCAAAGGAGCTGCTGGGTGTCACAGAGGCACACACAAAGGGTGAAAAGTCCCTTCTTTGTCCATTTCCTCTGAAGAGAAAAAGTGAACAAGAATTGAAATTCCTGGGAGGAACTCAGTAATGCTACCTGCTGGACCATGGTTTCTTTATAAACGATAAGTCATGTCACATATGCTGGGAAACCACACTTGGGTGCCTCTGCTGACTGTGCAGCAATATGATCTTGCAGGGCTATACATAGGAAGACTGCACTGAGACCTGTTCCATTCCCAGATACTGAAAATGCAGACAGATATAGTACCATGGCTGAGAAATCAGAGGTTCAACAGCTCCACAGATGACATTGGAATTGAAAGGGATAAAAATAAAAAATACGATGTTCAGAAGATATCAGTTTACAGTGAGCTCAAGTTTCCAGCTTGCAGAGAGGTGTTTGTTTTTTAGAGAGGATGGTGTGCTGCTCCCAGCAAAGATATGTAAACATTTTCTACCAAGTCAGAATGCTCTTCCTAAAGCTCCTGTCTCATGTCTACTGAAGCACTTAGGCCTCAGCGGGTCTAAGAGCTTCAAGAATGGCCAGAAGCGAAAGAAAGTGAGTTCATATTCACATTTGTGGTGTTGTTTTATTTGTTTTGTTTTGGTTTTTTGCCTGTGTGTGCTAGGGGTTTTGTTGTTGTTAAGTTGATTTGTTTGTTTTAATGCTATGTCTATAGAATGCACTCAGAGTGTATCCTTTCTGGAAACTCAGAGATTTATGTGTTTTGGCCACTACTGATCTGGTGTAACTGGAACACCGGGAAAGAAAAATGTTCTAGGCAGTTCAACTGAACACAATCTGAGATTTAAAAAAGTAAAAGAAATGCTTTTGGCTTAACAAGTTTGCATCTTAAGACTACTTGACATGCTGTTAAGCTTTATGCCTCAGAGCTCTGCTGGGAAATGTTGTCAGCTTCTGAAAGACTGGAGGCCAGACTGGAAAGCTCCTAAGCCTTGTCTGATTAGTGTGGGGAGGAGCAGAGAGGAGGCTCAGGCTTCAAGATGCAGGGACACAAACACCTGGGACAGCGCAGAGCTCCGAGGGCTGAGTGAGCCTGTCTTGCAGAGCTCTGTGCTCAGCACACACAGGTCTGTGAGGCTCAGTGTGGCTCTGCTTGCTGCAAACCCCCCAGCAGTGCCCACACAACCCTGGGGAGAGCTGGATGGACAACACCCACTTCCTGCACTGAGATTTGGGGGGGCACTTTCACTTTGCAAGGCAATGCCAGCTGTTGGCTTTCCAAGAATGGTGTTCAACAGAAGCTGCTTCTTATAGAGAGGAGCAAGTCCTGAATATCCCCAGCCACTGGAAGGCTGAGAGGAATTGGCTCTAGGTAAGTGCAATGACAGGAACCCAGAAGCAGGGACAAACTCTGCTGGTTTGCAGTGACACTGATTTTGCAGCTGTATCTGCCGAAGCCCTGGGCCGTGCTTGGCAGAAGCGCATGCGTCTGTCGCAAGCAGCAGAAGGAAATGTTACTCAGCCCCACTTCCTTAAGGGTCTGTGGCAGAGAAGCACCGTGCTCCACAGAGCGGCTGCGAGGGACACAGAGAGGTACAGATGTGCTGTGGACAGTCCACAGGGAGCTCTCACAGCTCTGCTCACCCTCACAGCCAGCTCTGGCTCACTTTGCTGCACCCGGGGCACCTTTGCCATGCAGAGCAAGGGTTAAGTAGGCTCATCCAGCCTGGCAAGCACAAGGCTGATGCCCTCAGCTCCTGAGGGTGGTGACTGGGCAGCCCAAGGACAGAAAGGTGCCAGGGAAGTGGCACATGCTGGGCTCTGACAGCTGTCCCACGATGCAGCTGAGAGGGGAGGGTTGGACACACAGGAAGTTCAGGTTTCATAGCTTCTGGGCTTGGCTTTCAGGTCTGCTGGAGGGTTACCTGCTTGCACTTTGTCATGCTGTAAGTTGTGTTTGTATCTTCATTCGTTCATCTTTTTTTCTTGTGTAAGGCAAAAGGTGGCATGAGGCTGCTTTTTAAGTATAAATTTTTCTCTGTATAAAGTTATTCCTGTTAAGATATAAAAAGCAAATGCAGAGTTGCACAAGACCATGTAGCGAAATCTTCAGCAAAACGTGAAGGACACTACCTCGCTTGCTGGCAAAACATTTCTGTCTGCTTTTGAAGTGTTTCACCTCTGTTTACTTCTAGTTGGGGTTAGTTGATTAGTGGAGAATCCCAGCATGGAGCAGAAACGCTGGAAAGTGAAAAGGAAAGAATGTCACAAGATTTGCAAGCTCATGTGATTAGGGCAGACTGGGAGCCCCAAGTCTCGGCAGGAGAGCTGGCAGGGGTTAGCATCGGTTATCTGGAGTGGGGATAGAGGGAAGAGAGAGTTGGGCAGCAGTGGAAAAAAGCTGCCTGGAAACATCATCCCACCCCACTTCCCTGCTTTCCTTTCCATTTCCCCGCTCCCCACCTCCCTCCTGAAATTCCACCCTTCAAATCTGCCAACTTCAAATTTGTCAGCCATGCCAATAGCAGCAGCATCATCGTGCTGTGCAGAGAGGAAAAAAAGGGACAGCCATGTCCAAAAAATCTCCTGGTAGTGCTGGATCTCTTGAATGCCCTGCAATGGGAGAGAAGAATAGTTTGGAGCGTTTTTCTAGGAACAGGCCTGGCTGGTGTTGCTGTGTACGCAGGCAGTGCTGGAACGAGGTCTGTCAGAAGGAGACCTGGGTTCTTCCTCGCTCTTTGCTCTGGCAGTGTGGGGCTGCCACGCCTTTGTTTTGGGGACCTTTGCACTGTAAACAGCTCTGTGAGGGAGCTGCTCCTGTAATGATTTCCCCTCATTGGCTTGCTCTGAATACCCTTGATCCCTGCCAAAGTACAAAGGGCGTCAGAGCTGGATACATGATCGTTTCCAGTTTCTGTTTCGCTATCGTGTTCAGATTCTTCAGGCAGCTCAGAGCAGCTCTGTCACAGACCCTTGGAAGATCAATAGCTGGCAGCTTTTGGCTATGGTTATGTGATCCATGATAGGCAATGTTGTAGAGGCAGTAAATTGGTGAGATACATTTAAAAAAGTGTTCTCTGGGTCCAAAACGGAGAGATTAAATGAAAGGTGAAGCACAGCAGGAAGAAAAGTAAAATCCCATGAGTTGGAATTATTGGTGGCTATCTATTTCATTTTCTTCTCTTTGTAGGTGCTGTGTCTAGGATAGAGTGCAGAGCAGAGACTTTGCTGGTAAGTAATGATATCCCTCCTGCGAGTGAGAGCTGCTTTCTCACTCCTGTCCTCAACAGGACAGCAGGGAGAAAATAAGATTCATGAGCTGAGATAAAGCCAAGGTGAACATTGGGCAAGACAGACTTCACTTGGGGGAAGTTAACTTATTGCCAATTAAAATAGATTTAAATTG